TCGCAAGGAGCGATAAGTGATTTGTTCGTCAGAATTTCTTCGAAATTGAGGACTACTGAAACACACTGACGAGACTTAATTAATCGACATCCACTGTATTATAGATTGGCGTAAATATTTATTCTCAGACAATATTATTACTCATGTGCGTTAACTTCGTACGTTTAATTATTATTATCATGTACTAATTACGTTCTCCATTAGAACAAAGCATACATTTGTTCAGTTATTAATTTACTTTTATAATTATATAAGCGCTTAATATACAAGAAGTGTAGCAGTGGTATCAGAAATAAAGATTCGACAGGGAATAATGTAATTCATCGAAATGAAGAAAAAATTGTAACCATAGTAGGAGCAGACGAATCCAAAGACACAAATAATATACAAATGAAATGGATACAACGATCTTAATAGCTTATTTTGAAAGGCTATCGTAAAATTTGTTTAAGATATCTGAAAAAGACACAGAGCCGCAATTGCGATTACGTAAAACGTCAAGATATTTTCCGGAGGCTATTGTGCAGGCGTCGTGGTGACGTTGAAAGATGCCGGCGATCGAGATGCATTTTATGCGGCGGGCAATGCATAGCAAATTTATGCGGCTAAGTGTAGCGTAATATATTAAACCGAATGATACGTGTCGATATTCGCTCGATTTTTTAACAAGTAAACCTAAGATGATAACGCCCGGAGCCTCTTATGAATAAACTTCGCGCAATCGCGTGTTCTTGCGCTTATCGCGCAGTTAAGTGCGATAAAGACGGCCTCGGGATTCGGGAATTCGCGGGAATGAGAGCCGGATGCAACAACAACGAGAAGAGAATTCACCGGCGCGTCTGAAGACACTGTCGTTCGGCGAAGCGTTTTATTCGCGAACTTTTAAATACGCTCCGCGAAAGTATCTCGAGCGACGAATCAACCCGCACGGGGAAAGATTTAAGTGACTATGAGAAAACTTCTCGAGCGGTTCAACGAGATCGGTAATAACGTCCGCGATGAAAATATATTGAGAGTTTACCCTTTCTTCCTTTCTTTCTTTCTCTTTTTTTTATGAAAATTCCCATTTCGGCCGTCAAATATCTTCAGCTCACATCGAGGCGTGATATCCGTCGCGTTCGCGCTCGGCATCCTGAATTCAAAAAATGCCCTAACGCGCCCCTAAGATTTACTTCGCGCCATCATGACGGCTTTTTCCTCGTAATAATGGATTTATGCCGAGAATACACAACGAGAGAACGTGCAAATCAGTCTTATCTGACTGTTCTCATTCCTCCTTTTCTTCTTCGTATCGGCGAACGATGTATCTTTATTGACATTAATTCATTTTCCAACCTCTTGGTTAATTGATTAATTAACTGATAGATGAATTATACGTCTATCTTTATTTTTCCTTCAAATTAGACAGACATAATTTAACTGTCAATTAGCTTACTAAGAATTTGGAAAAATCAGTCCTATATTCGTTAGCTCTCTCTATTTCTCTCTCTCTCTCTCTCTCTCTCTCTCTCTCTCTCTCTCTCTCTCTCTCTCTC